TCTTAAAAGTCTAAGAGTAGCTTGTTTCTGGGAGTCATAAAGGCAGTAAGGACACAAACACATTCTTCCCTCATCCCATATTTGTAGCCAGGGATGGTGGTGCACATTTACAATCCCAGCTACTTAGTAGGCTGAGACAGAAGAATCACAAATTCAAAGGCGGCAGGTAAAAAGGGTAGGAGAGGCAGCTCAGCGGTGGAATACTTGCTTAGTATGGATGGGGCTCTGAGTTCAATCCCCGGCACTATAAGATACACAGGATAGACAGCAGGTAGATGATGATAATAAATAGTAATAATAATAATAATAAAATACATTCATTAAATTTTAAAAATACCCCCTAGCTGTAGCTGAATGGTAAAGCACTTGCCTGGCCTGCACAAGGCCTGGGAGTCCATTCCCAGCACTACACAAAACAAGCCACACCTACCCAGGCTGTTCCTGACAGCACTGCTGGGGCAGGGCAAGGTGCGTCGTGCATGCCTACGTCCTTCCTTAGGCCCTCAGTAACTGTTGGGAAATCAGAGGGGGTGGGGGTGGGGGTGAACTCAGGGGCACTCAACCACTGAGCCACATCCCCAGTCCTGTTTTGTATTTTATTTAGAGACAGGGTCTCACTTTTGCTGAGGCTGGCTTTGAACTCATGATCCCCTTGCCTCAGCCTCCCCAACAGGAGTGCACCACCGCACCCAGCCTGAGTTTTCTTTTCAACACTGCAAAAGGCCCACAGGTTAAAAAGGAGGAAACGGAGGCTGAGTGGTGGTTTCCAAATGCCAGGATGGATAGCCAGGCCAAGGAAATTTGTTTCTTTAAATACAATGCTATGGTTTGGATGCTAGATGTCCCTGCAAAAGCTGATGTGTTAGAAGCCTGATTCGATGGTGATGGTGTTAGGGTGGTGTGGACCTTTAACAGGTGGGGCCTGGAGGGAAAGCTTCGGTCCACTGAGGTCACTGACCTTGGAAAGGATGCAGGTGGTTCTCACATGACCCTCTTGGTGGTGATCTCCAGAGGCTGGTTATAAAAGCCTGGCCTGGCCCCACCCAGCTCACTGGCTTCCTGTATCTGGATGTGATCACCTGCTCCCACACACGCTCCCACACGGCCATCTGCCATCACATGATGCAGATGAGAAGGCTGTCCCCAGAAATGAGTCTCTGCAGCACCACACCCTTGCACCTACCAAACTGTGGGCTAAATACACGTCTTTTCTTCCTAACTAGACTCCATGCTCGTTATAGGGACAAGAAGCTGAACGTTACAGACAGACACCTGAGTCCCAACTGAATTCCTGATATAGCAGTTCGAGGGAGAATCTAAAATTCCAGCCAGGTTTATAAGCCTCAGGCTAGAGCCAATGCACACCATTTTACGCCCCATAGATATCTAAACTGCTAGCATGATTTTCTTAAAAAGGTTTAAAAAATTCTCCACACATTGTAGTTTCTAAAATAATCAATGAAGACAGGTTCCAACAAACATGAAAATTATGCCCTCACATTGGCTGTTCAAAATTCACAGTGATTTCCTACAGAATGGCATGATGACATCTGCTCTGTTACAGGCACGCTCACCAAGAACACTCACCACTGCCTGTCACTTATAAAAAACACCCCCCTCTCATCTCACTTGGGATGCCAAGAAAGCAGCTCCCCAGGGAAGTAGACACCGCTTCTCCTTGTCCTGTTGTTTTCACTGAGAGGACACACCGGGAAGGAACTAAAACCCAGCAAGTGCTCTCTCCACGCTGCTGTGTCTCTAGATTGATCAGAAAAAAACTAAAAATCCATGTTTGCAGGTTTCAGATTGTGTCTATGCAGCTTGGGATAAACCTGCCTTCCCAGTCTCACCTCATTTCTCTGTAGCCTCACCTCCAGCCACACAGCAGACACCCTGAGTTCCACTCCGCCCCACTCCCTGCCCTGATGTTGTGCTGTGTCTGCACCCGTTGGTTGGCCCACAGGCATGCAATTCTGATTTCTGCAACAGCTGGCACCACAATGAAAGGCTTTATACAGGGGATATACAGGGAGCTATCACCTGTACTAGCCTGCCTGAAAATACCACTCTAAAATCGAAAATTCTTTACCAATATACCCCTGTTCTTCATGAATAACTGTGTGGTTAAAGAGAAAATGAAACTGAATTCAGAGTCAAATATATGAAACAACTTATCAAGTCATTTAATGATTAATTAAGAAAACGAAAGCACTTGGTAAAACATTTATCATTATTTGTGGTATTGGAGATTGAACCCAGAAGTTCTCCTGGCCACTGAGCATCACCCCAAACTCTTTTTATTTTGAGACAAGGTCTCACTAAGTTACCTGGACTGGTCCCTTGCAAACTTCCTGCCTCAGCCTCCCAAGATGGTGAGACTACAGCATGTGCCACCAGCTAAATATTACATATTTCTAAATTAAGTTTTAAAACTCACCTCACTTATAAAAAACATCTTCAAACTGGTTATCATTAACTCAGATCAATCCTAAATGTTAGGTGTACAGGTGTCCCTCTATATCMCCGGAAGACTGGTTCCCCAAAGATATCCAAACCACACATTTTCCAAGTCCCTTATATAAAATGGAATAGATTTGCATATAACCTACACACTTCCTCCAGTGTACTTTAAATCATCTTCAGATGACTTATAGAACCTAATACAAGATAATTGCAATTAAATAGCTTTTGTTCTGTGCTACTTAGGGAATAATAAGAAGAAAAAGCTTCTGTGTATATTCAGTACAGGTAATTTTTTCCCCCCAAATACTTTTGACTCAATTGATCGAATTTGCAGAATCTGTAGATAAGCAGAGTGACTATACTGTGTTTCTCCACAGTTACTTTCCTATTTCTCCCCTTCTGAATAAAAGTTCTACTCCCAGGTAAACTGTAACAACTGCTTAAGCTACAAATGCCACAGAGATTGTACCATATGCTATGGTTTGGATGTAATTTGTCTCCCAAAGGTTCATGTGCTGGAATCTTGGTCCTCAGTTTGGTGGTGTGGGAAGTGATGGAACTTTCAAGAGAGAAAACTTCAGTGGGAGGTCGTTAGTTAGGCCACCAGGGTTGCTACTCCCAGTATAGACAGTGGAACCTCAGTCTATCTCTGGCGGCATGCTTTGTGATTTGACCTCTCACTTCAGCAAACACTCCTGCCTTTGTGGTCCCACCTGCCATAAGGTCCTCAAGAGCTGAGGTGATGTCAATGACAGGACTTTGAATTTCCAGAACTGTGAGGTAAATAAACTTCTTTTCTTTATGGATACCCAGTTTTAGATATTTTGTTATAGTAGCAAAAGAACAAACTAATACACAAGAGGAGCAGGATATCAATGGAGATACTTGAGGATGCCAGTCTACCTCCGTTAGGTGTGTCCAGGCTACCTTCACTTTAACATTCCATCTTTTGGGGCCTTTTTAGGTTTACAAGAATAACGGTAATGGCATCTGCTATTGAACAAGTTCTTCACATATACTCTTTTTAACAGTCAGATAATGACACCGTTCTAATAGTACAGGGAGCCTGAGGCCAGGAAGTGGTGGGGCCCAACACTCAGGTACAGGTTCTAGAGCTCAATTCATGCTCTCTGATGTACCAACAAGCACTTATTAAACACCTTCTGTAAGGTATGATACTGACATAAAAGCATACTCTCTCCCCTTCTGCAGGGATAATCCTCAAATATACCATATTGTTTCACTCTGCTGATTTAAAAACAGTTAATGGATTAATTATTCATTCAGTCAAGGCTTCCTCTACCAGAATTACAAGACAGGCCCTGGTCTCTATGTTCTCAGGTTGGGAGGAAGTGAAGCAGCGTGGCTGACCAGGGTACAGCAACGGAGACAATGCCTAGCAGCCTTGGAGGAGGAACCAGCAAGCCTGGGTGGACCCAAACATAGGAGATTAGGGAARGGAGCCCTCCAGGCCCAAGAGCTAGTGAAAAGGCCCCAGGCAAAAGCCAGCTCAGTGCATTCATGGCAAGAAAGAAGGCTGGGAGGTCGCCTGGGTCTCAGTGAGCAGGGTAAGGAGCTGGAGGTTACTCCCAGAGCAGTGGGAAGCCAGGGGAGATTGTACACATGATCTGGTTCACATTTTTAAACACTACTCTGGCTGCTGTGAGGATAATGAACTGTAGGGAAGAATGTAACAGGTATCCCATCAGAAGGCTACTGCTACCTGTGTCGCCAAAGACAGCCAGGCAGCCCTGGCTCTCTGGCCCCAGACCTTCTTCATCCCCATCTGTGCAGTCAGCCCAAGCCTTCATGTCGCTGAGCTATGTCCCCAGTGTCCAGCACACAGGCAGCACTGAACGGAGTCCATGGAGAAAAGCTCCTACAGTCAGAGGCAGCTCTTAGGGACATTTTCAACCTTGGAATTAAACTTCAGGAACCAACAAAAAGTCTAATTCCTACAACAATCTCTTGAACATGCCTTCTATTATTAACAGCTGACATGAAGCAAATGACACGACTCCAACAGACTTGGGCACTACTGCACAAACTTTACCACTCTGGACCGTTATAAGGCAGATTTGATTTAGAAAAGAGGAGCATGCTCATGGCTCATTGCCCAATAGCTTCTTGTGAGACATCATATGCAAACAGGCTTCAGGCTTACAATTATTTTGGGTCCCCAATTTCAAATATGATCTTTTTGATCTTTCTGGTCTTTTTGAGAAATGAAAAAAATAACTACAAATCCACTGTACTTATGAAGTCATTTACAGACCAAGAGGCTCTCTTGTGTCCAAGGAGTCAGAGACACCAAGATCTCTAGCCTGTGATTCGATGGCCTCCGCTTTTCTCTAAGAAGTCTGTCAAGTTTGCTCTTGCTCCTCAATATCCTCGGGGATTACTAGCAAGTTCAGCTACACTTAAGGGCATAAATGCAGAAATTCACCCTTCCAAAGAACAAGACTTGATTGGTGAAGTTGGCAAACCTCTGCATTATTGCAAGGTCAATATGATACAGAGAGGCCTTATTTACTTACCTAAGTAATGTGATGGATGAAATGACATAGGCTTACTAGTCGCTGAGTAATATCCAATTGCTCTCTTAAATCGAATAACTTTGTCATCTGTTCTAGACTGAAACAGATGTAGGAAAACCTTAGTTATGCCACTAGTCATGTGTATGAACATACTTTTATAATTCAGCACATGTATAATAATCTGTAGCCTTTCAAGTTAGATAAGAATTTAGAATGACATAAAAACCTTTAGGGGAAAAAAATCAAGAGGTTACTACTGAAAAAAATCAAATCAAAAATTAATTATTTTAAAGCAATGCAGTTAGAAAAGCAGAACTGTGAGCTTGTGGCAGAGTTGGGCCCTGGCTCTATGACTTACTTCTTTGACTTCAATTCTGCAGTCACTGGTCCTGCCAAGAGACCCGACCTGCCACCTGCAGCTGGTGGAACAGACTGCAGCACACTGATCAGGAATATGTCTAGACAGAAACAAGTCCCCCAAACCTTACCTATTCCACTAACACTGACTTGTTCACATGCCTTACTTTCCAAAGAAGAAAATCCCTGACTATCCCCTAAAGGATACAGACAAATCGGGAATTCACAACACCATCTGACCAATTTCATTCAGTTGATCTTCTGCCCACTCTGGAATACAGGTCTTTTTAAGATAGAGAACTCGAAGCAGCAGACTCAGCCATCAACTACTTGAAACCCTTATAGTTTGGAACTGACTGAGACCATCTGGTGGGAGCCTGGCCCCTTAGCCATGGGCTCCTTCAGAATGGCGTGTATGGCCCAGCCAGACATACACAGTCAGTTCGCACCTCCTAAGTCCCCTTCCCAAACCAGCCACACCACCATGCAAAGGCCCACCCTGAGTCTTGCTTTTTTTACCTGTGAATGCTGGAAAACATCTTTAGCTATGGCATCCAGGTCAGAGGTGTCTTGAATGTTGCGGACATAGTCAGCAACAGCTTTGATCACTACATCGCAGGGTGGCAAGACCAGCTGGTGGGCCCGGACCTGAGAAGAAATGCACATGTCAGCAGTGAGCATGGGACACAGAGCAGGGCACATCAGGATGCAGGGTCCAGAAATTCCAACATGGTGCTGCCTTCTAGGTTCCCCTGGGGCCTCCTATCATCCATCTCAGCCCTATAGCTTCCCTAAGTCTCCCATGCTCTGAAGCTCCAGACCTGGACTTTTCTTTCAGTTGATGAAATACAACTCAGCTGCTAAAACTCTGTTAGATTAAAAGAGCACTGACAACCTTTAGTTAGCTTGCGAAGTCTGACAATAGGAACTGTGCCCCCCAGATGCTAAGCACAAAGCAACTCATGAGAGAGGCCCTGCAGCCATCCGCAGCACTAACTTAGGACTCTCTGCAAAACTACAGTAAAAGACCAAATTTAGCTCTGAACTATGGAACAATGGTACCACTGCCTGATGAAGGGCATGTCTGACTGAAGAATGACAGAACATGAAATACAGTATAGGAACATCTCATTATCCAAGAGCTGGCATCAGAAAAAGTTAATGGATTTTTTAAAAAGGCAAAGACATCTGATAAAAGCTCTGGGGTCAGCAGAATGACAGTCTCCAAACACCAACCACATCCCGCTCTCCAGAGCCTGTGACTATGCTGCGCTGGGTGGCAAGATAGAACTGAGATTTCTAGTCACCTGGCCTTAAAATAAGAATACTGTTCAGGACGACATGGAGAGGTCCCCCTAATCACAGGGTCGGGCTTTGACGACAGAGGAGGGGGCCACAGGCCCATGAATGCGGGCAGCAGCTGAGGGTGGCAAAGACAAGGGAACATTCTCCCTGAAGCTGCCAAAGGGAACACAGCCTGCTGATACTCTGACTTCAGCCCAGGGAGACCCATTTTGGACTTCCAGCCTCTAATGCTGAGATAATTATGTTGACATGAGGGACAGGGAGGCGAAAATAGGATTAGAAAAATTCAACCTAAGCAAAGAAAATGAAAGAAATCTCTGGCAGACATATATATTTATACTTTGAAGTTATTATCATGCAAACTTTCAGAGGCACAAGACTACATTTAAAAAAAAAAAAAGATTCTTTCATTAAAACATGTTTTCCCCATGGTTGAGTAGCTGCTCCTCACCTCCTAAGGCAGCACATCCCCTTCCTTTAGATCACTAGTATCCAGAGGAGGAAAATGGAATAATAAGGGCCTTCAAAGCACCACACCTTCCTAGAAACTCAAGAGTTCTCTGCAGAATGTGAAAAGCTACTGTCACACTCATGCTCACAGCAGACACGTGGTGAACACTAGGTCCTAGGTCAGCCTGTCCATGCCCCAACTTCTAAGGGATGTTTCAACAATCCCACAGGCAAGTGAGAAGGCTGCCGTGACCACAGGGAGAGCAGGGTCAGAACGAGAGCCTTGAGCTGCCCCGCCCTAAGTTCCTCTCCTGCTCCTGCTGGGAGACACTGGGCACTCTGCTCACAGTGAGCATGCCTCCACATCTGTGGAGGATCCCTGGGGGCCAGGCCTCAGCCTTGTTCTCTGTGTGCAGGTGACCAGCTAACTACTCAAATCCCTCAACTCTACAAGCCAGTGACAACTCCCTTTCCCTGAAACACACAGTAATTTTAGATGATTTCACACACAAAACAAAAACATGACAGTTCTCATCAAGAAAAGAAGTTACTAGATATAAAAATGTCCAAAGTATGGACCCCTTCACCCCCCCGTCAGGAGGGAGTACAAACCTACTTACATGCCTCAAGCCCCTGGGCAGCTCTGTCAGACACCATTCTGCCTCAAAAGGAAACAACGGAATCTGCTGCTTTTGTTCCCATGTGCAGTCTTGCCACACACCCCCCCCAACACTGCTGCTCAAAGACCCTTGAAGTGAACAGATCCTATCTATATAGATATATAACCCAGGGGTACTCTACTACTGAGCTACATCCCAGGCCTTTTTATTTTTTGAGGCAGGGTCTCACTAAGTTGCTCCTGGTCTTGCTAAGTTGCTGAGGCTGACCCCAAACTTGTGCCGATCCTCCCATCTTACCCCCCCCCAAGTCATGGGGATTACGGGAAGGTGCCATAGGGCCCAGCCAGATCATAGAAAGTGTCCTCTAAACTTTCCTGAGTGGCTAGATGACACTAGCTTAGCTCATGCTGCAAACACTACCCTTTATGACATGCTAACTGCACAGCCACACTCCATCCCATCCTCCATGACCCTTCTATAGCCAGACCCACCTTTCCCCTGGATGACTCCCAATCTAGCCTTCTAAATCCAACTCAGGATAAAGCCCCTGATCTACGCTGTATGAGAGGGGGGCTCTGAGGCCTAAGGGCCTGTTCACACCACAGTCCCCACCCTTCCTCAAGGAAGGCAGCCAGTGGACAGAAAAAATGCACTAGTATAGGGACACCCAGCAGGGCCTTACCGTACCCAAGAGCTAAAAGCACACTGCCTCCAGTACATGCTACGTGATGCTTTTACCATGGCAAAACGTGCAATGAGTTTCAAAAGGATTTACCAGGGAATTAATTTTGGTGCCAGGATCCTCTAGCACACTGAAATAAAGGTATGCATATAGGTATACATACCATGTAGATGATGGTTACCCATCAAAATAAACGGGGTGGGGGGATATCAAGACCTGTTTATTCAAAATCTTCCCAAATAGCAAGTGACTCAACATCAGCAGTCACCACACAGGAGGGTTACTCTGTCCTTGTCTGCTCATAAAAACAAAATCCACGCTCAAACCAAGTAACAGAAGTGTTTGCCATATAGTGGCAGGCTACAAAATATTAGTTCCATCTCCTCCTTTCCTTTATTCAGCTTTTGTTTTAAATTTTTAGCTCAAAAAGTTAACATTTGGGGAAAAAAAAAAATCAAATAAACTGCAACAGATCCAAAGTTGGAAACAAACGTACTTTCTGTTTGTTAGAATAGAAGGTAAATTGTTTCATTAAAAATACAAATGTTGCCAGGCGTGATGGCACACGCTTGTGATGGCAGCCATTAGGGAGGCTGGGGAAGGAGGATCGCAAGTTCCAGACTAGCCTGAGCAACTTTATGAGACCCTGTCTCAAAATAAAAAGTAAAAATGCCTGGGGATGCAGCTCAGTGGTACAGAGCCCCTGGGTCCAGTTCCCAGTAGTGGAGGGCAGGGGGAGCAAAAAATGTTTCTGATCAATTGCCTTTTATCATGGCACTTCATGGCAATTTCACTGTTATTTGCTTTGCCAGAAAGAAAAAAATTGAGGGCTAGAAAAGACCTCCAAAATATTTAACCCAACCCTTTGCTTTCAGGCAAGAAAATTAAATAATAAATAGGCACCATTTGCCTGGAAATGATCATTGTCTCTGTGCAAAAATATTCTTCTGTGAGAGATTTCACTTTTGGCATCATCTCTTTCCAAATTTCCAGACCTAAAGCTTTGTACTATGATTTTTACACATCATTGACAAATGAGAACAATGCGGGAAGTGCTTATAAACACTGGCACCATTAGACCTTACCTAGCAACCTGCTGCTGGCTCTGTGATAGGTCATGGTTGATAATCCAGTAGGTGTCCCTGTGTCGCCCATGATAAGCTGTCCTTTGACCACTCTGGACAACCTTTACTTTGGATTTTAAAAAACAACAACAACAAATACCTTCTTGGGCTCTAAAGCCCTGGGGCTGGGTGGTGGTGTGGACACTGGCTGGCCACACTCATGGGATTGGCCCTGAGAGGGCACTTGTGCTGAGGCCATACAGCATGAGGTTTCAGACCCATCCACGAGCAGCTGGACATGCCCAGGAACACCTTCTGCAAAAAGCTGCAGGTGTTCTCACTGACGGAGGAGAGGGACGGACCCTCAGGGTGGTGGTGAGCACAAGACTGCAACTTAGCAATGGGACCACACCCAAGGGGACTTCAGGAAGCCTCTCTGCAGTCATTTGCTGACGACCCCTTGAGATCTTTCATTCTTTACAGCTGCTAAACTCAGTCAATTGTTTTAGCCTTTCAAGAGCCATGTTAAGGGAAGCTGGGCACAGTACACTATAACAGCTGAGACCCACAGAAAACAACTGTCAGGTTCCTGAAGGCAAAGTATTAGAAGAGCCTGCTGAAGAAGCATTGATGCACTTATTCACTGCTTCCAAGCAGTTCACTCCTTGCAATTCTGCAGTCTCATTCTTGGTTATATTTTTAAAATGAAACATTTTCCTACAGCTGTGAATTCATTTAAATTATGTCACCATATCATAGTCCAGCTTTTAAATCAAGCCTATCATACCACAGGACTCAGAGGAGCCCATTTAAATCCAGTATGCTTTTTCTTGTAATATTGTTGATTAAAAACTCTTAAAAGCTTTCTAAATCCACCATTAGAAAGAATAACTTGAAGGGGTCTTGACTTTCACATGATGGAAATACAAGACTTCTGCACAAGGGCAAGATGGCAGGTCCCTCTCCAGAGATATGAGGGTCCTCCCCACTCAGGTCCAATCTCAGGAATCTGCTTCCACTGCTCACATGGCTTACAGGGAAGCTGCCCCCCAGAAAGACTGGGAGGGGGTTGGTTTCCAGATACAGTATTTTGATACATCAGGATGGACATTTTGTTTTAGGCAGACATTTACTTCTTCAGGAGGCCAAATCACTGTACCATGTTCCATTTTTGTATTGATGACGTTTCAATTCTAAATAGCCTTAAAACCTCACCTTGTCTGTTTTACAAGACAAAGAAAATGAGCATTTTCCATATTAATTGGTGTTTTAGTTTTACATTGGGTCACACTTTCCCTTTTTTTTTTTTTTTAAAGAGAGAGAGGAGAGGAGAGGAGAGGAGAGGAGAGGAGAGGAGAGGAGAGGAGAGAGA